TTATTAATCAGCTATAACTACTAAGCAATTATAGACATGACAAGTTATCGATAGTCCGTATATTTCTGATAGATGTAAGACAGCTTCTAATGTTACTATATTATCGATATAACTGACTGTGAATCTTTGAGATAAACTAGCTTAGGACAGCATTGACACACATTTACATAAATCTCCTTGTTCCAAGCTTAAATATCTTTGAGATGCTCTGTAGATTATTGCTTACTTTGAGATACATTTCAATGTTGCTGAACTAGTAAAAGTTGCCTCAGCAGATACTTGGAATTCAGTGTGCGCACATTGAGATACTTTTGCTACGCTTTGCTATGCCAATGAAACATTTGTTGCTTATTTGTGATTCAAATAGTAGCTCACAGATAGTTAATATCCTTAGCTGGCAAAGCTGCTTATGCTTCGTGCCATGCAGTCGCCCGGCTAGGTGGACACATGCATCTAGATACTTTAAGCATCTTTGCGCTACATGTGCGTCCGCTTTGTATCTTTAAGATACTTTTCTGTAATCCGCTTTTACCTGGGCTAATTACCGCTGGGCACATACTCAAAGTTCGCTTAGCTATAGATATTTGGCAGTGATGAAAACGTCGGAAACTTTTAATTAAGCTGAATTTGTATCTTTAAGATACAAATTTGGGAAGTCATTTTAATTTGCTGTGAAATTTATATTTTCCAACAGGTTCAAGTTAAGCTGGAGCAGAGTTTTCAAGGAGCCCAAAGTGAGTGCATGAGTAAGTGGTGCAGAGTGGGGCAGAGTGGTGCAGGGTGGTGCAGATTGCTGCTGCTGCTGATGATGATGACTGCCTTGATTGCAGCTGTCTATTGTAGGCAGTTAACACTATGTGCAATTGGAGGCAGAGCGCTAGAGTCGCAAGGAAACTGCTAGAGCTTTCAGCCACTTACGCTGTGTATCCCTGTGTGTGTGCACACAGTTACACACACTTGCACACGCACACAAAGACAAGATTTATATAAAGTTTTGTAACAAAAGAGCAGGCGCCGTTGCTCTGGCAACTTCGTTGTGTGCAGTTTTTTGGATGCTGCAACGAAGCGCCTGCCAGTATATAGCGTGCCACAAATAGGGGCAGCTGCATATATCATATAAATATATATAATATGTACATAATACATATATAATATCTCTCTATATATATAAATTTCTGTTGCTGTTGCCGTTGCTGTTCCTGAAGAGCTGAGAAATCGCATTTCATTTCATTTTTAATTTAATGCCAGCACGCGCCCAAATGCTGTGGGCGCCTGGGAGGATGGGGGCGGTGTGTGTTGGGGGCGTGGCTGGGTTGAACTGTTCTGTTTGTTGCTCAACTTGACCAAAGTCGAAATGGCTGCAATGCATTGCATTGAACTCTGAACTTTACCCAAGCTACATTTAAATAATTGATTTTGTTTGCCTTGCAGGCTCTCCCTCTCCCTCTCTCCCTCTCCCTCTCTCTCTCTCTCTCTCTCCCTCTTTCTCTCTTTGTATGTGACTTCCGCCCTGTCTTCTCTACCTCTAACACGCTCTCACTCTTTATCTGCCTTTTTGGTTCGGTTTGTTCCTCTGATGAAATATGTATGCTGCCTGCTTTTAGGCGTTGCCCGTTAAATCGTTTTGTGGCCAGAAGGAAAACACTTTTCTGTTGCACTCAACAATCATTACTAACTGAACCGGGATGAAGCGAACCGGTTAGGTCATATATACAAATTGAAGCTACTATAGCTAGTGTTATTAAACCGTTTCATTGTAAGTGTCTCAGGATCTGACGAATTCAATTTCCTATTATGTAATACAGCCGAAGCAAACCGAATGGAACCGAACTGAACTGAACCGCAGCTGAGTGACTTATCTGAATTACAATGTATGTAAGCTAGCTTCATATTAGATATAGGCATTCTTCGCATTAGTTCGCATGAGTAACTGAAAAAGGAACGATTAGAATCTCAGCGAACTGGTTCAGCAAGGTAACACATAGATAGGATTGCTTGTGAGGCATAGAAAAACTTCAGTTGAATCACATTGGAGCAGAACTCTATCAACTTTCGCATATAATCCAAATCTACTGAAGCAATCTGGGCAATTGAGTCATCAATCTAGTATCATCTGGCTTACAAAAGATAATAGATCTGGCTCAGTATAACCTACTAAACTCTTCCTCATCGAGCCAGTTCATTAGCCAAGCTCATTCGATTTAGCTCAGTTACAAAACTTAGGATTGACTAATTGATTCATTAAACAAGAAATAAAATATGTTTTTAGAAGGCACACAAACGCAACCTCAATCTGGTTCATTGTCCACTTCAACTGGTCTAGTCCTAGCTCAAGACTCTCTGGTCAATTTAGTATTAAAATTGCTTACAAAAGAAACCGGATCCGTTTTAATACAGCCTAGCGAACCCATTCTCATTGAACCGGTTTAAATCTTGAGTATTTGGTTCTTTAAACAAGAAATAAAATATATTTTTAGAACGCCCGACAAGTGCACTGCCCAATTGAACTAGTTCAGTCTACATACATAAGTTATCGATGAAAGAACTTTGTGTTTAAATAACAAATTTAGATTTAAGGACGATAATCACACCGAAAGTTCGATTGAACCGGTTCATTAGAGGTAAAAAATGATTATATTATTAGCTCGACAACTAGATAGCTCTCGTCTGCAATTAAATCGAATTGGAGCTTGGCAATTGCGTTAATAATTGATTTAGTGAATGGGTAATACGTCCATTAGGCACCGCAGCGAAATTACAAATTACCGATAATTGCATTATTTTTAGCAAATGTCACTCAATTATTTCGCCAGCCATTCGAAAATCGATCAAATTGCATTGTATTGCACAATATTGAAGGGAATATTTGATTTACACTATTCGTGTGGGTTGGGCCCATTTGGGACCGAGAAGGTACCGTGCCAAGGCCTACCCCAGGCTCCAGCAAATTCATCATGATGAACAATGCAATCGACGATTACAATTAATGCATAAATTGCTTCCCTGAATGAGCTGAAGTGTAAATATGCCAACAATAGCCGAATGCTGCGTGCTGTGTGTGCGACTGTGATGGCTAGATGGCATTCAATGAGAGAGACAGAGCTAACAGAGAGAGCAAGTGAGATACAGTGAGAGAGAGAGAGAGAGAGACAGAGTGATTGACAGAGGAGCAAATGCAATTGAACCCTTTGTCCTGTCAGCCCATCACTGCAAAGCTTTTCACAGCTGCAGAGTGCGAGCCGAGTGCCAAATATTTAATCTATCTCTAATCATTGTATATCCCCCAAATGAAAATTTATTGGCTCTTTTATTTGCGTGTGTGTTTATCCATGTCAATGTTTGGCAATCTAGCTTTCAGTCTAGAAATTTGGGAATTTGAAATCCGCATAGAGTCTAGATAGAGTTCGCCATGGAATTTACTCTAGTCTATACTGACAATCAAGATGGACAGATTGAAAATATGTCAACTTGGCTTTAGGTTATATTGGTTACTGTGTATTACTGCCGAAGGGGGTTTGGTATATTCATTATCAGCACATCGAGCCAAGTCGTTCTAGTCGTGTCTGTCAGTTCGTCATGCTTATATCTAACTTTTCGTATGTCCGTCCGTCTGTCCAACTGTTTTTCTGTCTGTCCGTCTGCTTATCTGTCCGTGTGTCCGCCTGCCCGTCTAACCCTTCCCTTCCGTCTCGTTAAGCTAGAGTCATGAAATTTCTCCCTTTATAGCTTGAGCAGATCTAGTTTGTTATCGACTAATCGATAACGATTTGATTGATAACTATTAAAATCTGAAGAGTGTAGCAGTTATTCAGTTATATCGGATGTGTTTGGCGCTAGAGTCTTCAGATTCTATAGATAGTATTGTACGATTTATACGATTTTCATATACTTTTTTTTTCATTTGTATATATTTTTTGAAATTCTCGAAATTTAAGCCAAACTGACATTATATAGAATAAGAGCTCTATAGCTCTTAGACGAGTTTATGTTGTATAAGTTAGTATGAGACCTATTGAGCTATAGTTAACTCTTATGCAAATCAGTTTAACAATAAGGAACTATATTGAACCAATTGATGCCAGATATTTCTAAGAAAAAAATCGGTTAAAATTTTTAGTTTTGACAAAAAATCGAGGTTTAATGGGAAGCAAAATCTCACATACTCTCAGAATATTTATATGTATTAATATAAGACAATAAATACCTATATATGCAATATACATTTCATCATTTACTTACCTTATAAATTGTTGTCCTTAACTGATATTTTGTGGTTTAAAATATCACTTATCGCTCGCTTCTTTGCTCTTTCTCTGTCTCTGTCTCGCTGTCTCACTCGGCTTACTCGCTAGTTGTCTCTTTCTAGTTAGCTCTCACTTTCGCTCCTTAGTCAATCTCTCTGCTTTCCGTGTAAATTCTTATAGCTCGCTTTTGTCTTTGTTGGATGAAAAGTTTTTTATTTGTTTACTTTTTTTTTGTTTAAAATTTTCTTTTATTTAAAATTTTATATTTTTCTTCTTAGTTTTGGCAAGTTTTTTGTTGCTGCTATTGTTTTTGGTGTTGTTGCTGTTAACCGAAAATGTTTATTATTTTTAATTGGGTTCTAAAAATAATTCGTCGTATTTTGAAATCGTTGGAAGTCCGTTGGTTTTTTTCTTCTTTTTTTTTGTAATTTTTTTTTACCGTTTCTGTCTTTGTTTTACTAAATTTTGTTCATTGATTTTTTGTTTTTTTTTTTTTTGTATAAATATTAATTTCTTTAAGAATTTCAAGTCTTTTTTATTTTCTTTTATTTGACATGTAAATATATTTTACTCGTATTATAGATTTTATATTATTTGGTGTTTTTGGTTTGCTTTAAATTATGCTTTCATATATAATATTAATATATGTATATATATATATTTTTTTTACGTTTATCTTTATCTTTAGATTTATCTAGACTTATGTCTGCGTAGTGCGCGTCCTGTAAATTCTGTTAAAAAAAACCATGTGGTATATCGTGTCCAAATCGCCCCGAAATCGTCTCGTTTTCGAATTTTTTTTTTTTTTTTACTTCTTTTCGTTATCCTCTTGCTTGGTTTTCAACTTTTTCTTGCGCGTTCTTTTATCAATTATCGTAGTCTGCTTTGGTCTTTTACTTTCTATTCGTTCTATTCCTTATATTTTCAATTTTTTTTCCTTTTTAGACTATGAGATCTTTCGTTATCTTGATTTCGTATCTCTTCCTTTCGACTACTTTTCGTACTTCTTTTTAGACTTTCTTTCGCTTGTTTGTCGGTTCTTTGCTTCTTCTCTTTCTTCTGCTTTTGGTTTTTATATCGTCTCCTTTTATCTCTGCTTTTCGTCTTCTATTCGATCTTTTGTTATCTTATTTTCGTTTCCTTTTTACTTCCTTCTCTCTTACTTTTCAGACTTCCTCTCACCTTTCTTCGCTCTCTTCTTGCTGTTTCCTTCCTCTTTTTTTTTTTTTTTTTTTGCTTCCTTTTCGGCCTCCTTTTCTCACTTGAGCACAGATGTAACAACCCACAACACTATTTGTATAATTCCTAATCAATTATACGATCTATATGCGATCTATATAGCTAACACCTAGCTATATGCACACTTAAAAAAAAATTACAGTAAAAAAAAGTTTTTATTTTTTTTTTTATATTTTCACAAAGTTTTTTTTTATGTATTTCGATTCTACAATTGCTTTTCCTTTGCTCTATTTTCCCTTCTTTTTTTTTCTCGCTCACATTAAAAAAATTGTAACACAAATAAATCGTGGGAAATGTATTGGAGCCGTTTCCTACTTTTATTTTATTTTTTTTTATTTCACGCTTTATTTTCTTTTGTATTGAAGTTCAAAATTTCATAAAATGGTTTATATATATATTATATATTTTTTTTCTTGATATTTATTTAATTTTGTTGTTGTTGTTGATTGCTGATTGCAGACTTTCGGTTAAAGACTTTCAATTATCTGAAATGATATAGGAGTAAATATTTTAGCAATATTCTAAAATAAAATTTAAATAGAATAGAATTGATGAATATAGGCCATTTCCAAAACATAAGTGTGGCTATGAACAAGTTTTTGCTTACAATGAAACCTTTTCATACTCATTCACTAAATTGAAATGGGAATATTGGCTTTGTCCCCCAGAAGTTAGAGACTTATGACTCGAATGAAAGAGTGTAGATTTTCCTGATGCGCCTTCTAGGGGCGTGGCAATTCAATTGTATATATGGATTTGGTAAAAAAGATTTGGCGAATATGTTTACGACCATTAGGGACGTGACATATCGGGTATAACTGTATCTGCCACAGTTTTAGAACTAGAAACTCGAAAATTAACGACTAAATTACCGTTGACATCCTCTATTGATATGTACAAACATAATATATCTGGGCTGTGAATGAGTATTCTGCAGTCGGTAAAGTCCGACTGCAACATTCTTGTTTTGATTTTGAATTTAGATCCTGAAAAAAAAAACAAATATATTATGTATATGCCCAACTCTAATGTATATACATATATATAGATCACTTGTACGATCTATAAATATCCTTACGCACATATGGTTTAACTCTTTAGACATGTTTTTTGTCAGTGGGTCAAAAGTTGGGCTACTTAAGATCTCTGTCAAGGCACAAACACGCTCACACACACACACACACACACACACGCACACACACATACAATTGACAGTAGTAGACGTTACTTTAAATAGACTTTCTTCACATATATTTTTATGAACGATGATCTGTCAAGTTTCCTGTCTTGAGAACGGCTTGAAACGTACTAAAACAACGGCGACTGCGACTGCGACAGCGACTGCGACGCTGGCGTTGACGCTGGCGTTGGCAACGGGACAATGGCGGCCACAGCGAGCGCGCGTCTCTTGAGCTCTTGAATTAGAGAAGTTGCCGTTAGAAGTTGTTGCTTCCTCTTGCTGCTTTCAGTTCTTTCGGTTTTCGGTTTTGTTTTGCTCGACGGTTCTTTGCTTAGTCTCTGCTGTTGTTTGTTTACTTTCTCTGTAGTTGTTGCAGTTTCTTGTCTTTTTTTTTCGTTTTTATTTAGATGTTTTTTTTTTTTTTTTTAGTTTGTTTGTGTACTACGGAAACAAGGAGAAATCAAATAGCGACGCAAATGATAAATTATATGAGTAGAATAATACAAAACGCGCTTAAAAAAGAACCGCGTTTGCTGGATACGCCGAAGACTGCTTGACTCGTACTGATTGAGAGAGAGAGCGCAGCGAGCCCACCAAAACAACGGCAGCGACACTGGCAGCGACGTCAGCAGCAGCAGCAGCTGCTGCGGCCGCAATGTATCCTGTGTTGAGAGTTGCGCTTCAACGCGAGCCAAACGAAGAAGGAGAAGAAGAAACAACAAAAACAAGAACACAAACAAACGGTAAAAGAACTACAACAATGCGAGCAGCAGCAGCAGCAGCAGCACCTACATGGCAGCGCCCCGTAAAGCTCCAAGCTCTGCGCACAGCTTTCAGCTGCTATAACTCTACACAGGCCAAAGGCAAAGCTGCGCCGCAATGCTGCCGACTGCAACTGGGCCAAGTCTCCAAAGCACAACTCGATTTCATTTGTGTGTTTGCAAATGCATTTAGATAATTTACAATGTACCAAAAGCACACAGAGAGCGAGCGAGCGAGAGTGGGAGAGAGATAGAGACACACATGCACATTTATATATAAGCATGCGATCTCTCTCTCTCTATCTCACTCCCACCCACACACGCACTTAGTCTGCTATCATTGGACCACGCATACATATATATATAATCTGTATAATTGCTGACACGCACACGCACACACATGAACAGTCTTCTAATATGGCGCCATCTCAATTGCAGTATGACCGCATCAGCGCTTGAATATAATTGAAAGTACACACACACGCACACACAACCACACGCACACACACACACAGCTCATCAGATGGCGCTTCAGCTGTTGCCTTGTGCTGTGCTGTAGCTGGCACTAATTAATGGTCGACCAGATAATACGGCCGGAGTCTGCAAGTGGCAGCCGCAACAGTGCAATTTGCATGCATAACGGGATCGTTAGCGTTAGCCCAGTGGAATCGTTAAAGCTCACTTTTGCCATACAAGCGAAAGTTTTTTCTTTACGCTTCTCTTTGTGCAAAGAATTTCCCGTTTCTGATTGCAGCTGCAATTCAAGTAGACAGCGATTCAGGTGCAAAATCTAGATTAAAGGGCAGATAAAGGTAATCGGAGGAGAGAGTGGAATTAATGAAAGAGTAGGAAATGCTAGGAAGACAAATGAAAGATGCGAAGAAGAGGCGTGAGAGAGAAAGAGAGAGAGAGAGGCGAAAACAGTCACAGAGAGGCGGGGATAGAACAAAGAGTTAAAAAGAATGGGTGGGGAATGGGGGGTGGTAGAGAGTGAGAGAGAGAGAGAATGAGATGGGAGAAAGAGAAAGAGATGAAAGAGATGAAGTCAAAATTTCTTTTCTTTTCTTTTCAATTTTTTGATGATTGCTGATGAAAATCTCATAGTGAGGTTTCAATTATATTATACATACATCCATACATACATATGTATGTACGCACAAAATGATATGTCACATACATAAATAAATCACTTGCATACGAATTCATTTATTCATACATTCATTTATACATACATTCATAGATTCATTTATTCCTGCATTCATACATTCATGTATTCATACATTCATACATTCTTTCATTCATTCATTAATTCATTCATTCATTAATTCATACATTCATACATTCATACATTCATACATTCATACATTCATATATTCATACAATCATACATTCAAACATTCAAACATCCATTCATTCATACATTCACACATTCATGCATTCATACATACATACATATATACTTTCATACATTACACACATGACTACATCAGGACAAAACTGACATCACATCACTTACATCAAATACATCACATATGTACATCACCTATGCACATAATTTACATCCCTTACACAATGTATGACATACTCGTACTATTGGCCTCATTTCAAGAGCTTCCAACAAAACTTATGCCACCTCCTGTTACCTTCCCCCCTACCCCCTTTAAGACCCCTTCTACAGGCCACACTTGATGTAGTATATACTGTAATATTCAGATATTATATATATACATATTTATAGTCATATACACAAGATATTTTCCAGCTTTTCACTTTATAATTGGATAGAAAAGTTAATTTGAAATCCGTTTATCGCTTGGGCCTGGGCGAAGGGGATCAGGGGGCGGGTAAATGCCGTCGGTGGGCCTTCAATTGCAATTAGGGAACGAAGGCTAACATTCGGGTCAGCTGGAGGGGCTGTGGTGGGAGTGGCCGAAGGGATGTCGAATGCTTTTTGAACAATTTCAATTAATTAAAATAAATAATGAAATTATGCGAGGCTCGTGTGCCGCAGAAAGCCGAGCCACGCAGCCACTCAACCGCTCGAACAGTTTGGGCAACTGTGGGGCGCTAGGTGATTGGGTGGGTCAGTAGAGTTCATTTCATGTCAGCTTCTTCTTTTTTTTTTTTTTTTGGTTTTGTTTTTGCTGTGCGTCTTATCTAAGCCAAAAGCTGAGCTGCATACATAATCAGCCCGCAGGCAAGGCGGTGCTGGGTTGGGTCTCGGTTGGGTGGTGCAGCAAAATCAATGCAACTCCACACGGGCACAAAAGCTCAAAGCTCTCGCTGTGTAGGGGACGTGCTGTGTAGACTTTCGCCGCGGCACCATTGGAGACCTTTTCGTTCAGCTGGAAATTGGAGCAGCTCCTAGCAGAGCGTTGGGCGAGAGGCTGAGTGGGGCGGTGGAGAGGGTTGGGGAATGCACTACGCATATCCTGAGCTCAGGACGCACACACACACACACACACAGCTGCCGTGGAGAATTTGCTGGCGCACTCGGAATTGTGTCAAGCAACGAGGAACACGCCCCGAATGAGCACCGGCCGGCTGCCCACGCACCCGCCCGTTCCCAAAGGAGGGTAGCCCCCGACATCCGCCTCTACGCCTCTAGCAGCATCCCAGCTGTTTACCTTTGACTACAACTTGACTAACTTAAAGTGCCTTCCGTCCCCTCCCCCTGCCCCTCCTCCTGCCCACCCTCCCGGGTGGCTCCGAGCTAACGATGAAAAGTAAAAGGCAAATCATATTTGCAGCTGACCAAGAAAGGAAATCCATTTGACAATTGGTAGCCCTGGTAACCATCCAATTTCCAGTTCCTATTTTCACTGCACAGCATGCTTGATTGAATCAAGGCGAATCCTTACGTAGGCTCCTTTGATTTGCCTTCCTTTTTATCCTACTCAGAGGGAATCAAGCGTCAAAGCTGAGAGACTGTGCAAAACTAGTTTCCCAATTTGCAGCTTCCAAAATCCCAAGAATTCTACTGGAAAATATTTTCTGGACTGAATGAGCTTTCCCCAATCAGTTTCTCTGTAGATTGATGCAGCATTAATAAATGATTGTAATACATTCCAATTTCCATGGTAGCGCTTAAAGGTCCCCTGAGCCCTTCCCTGAGCCACTTCTTTCAGAATTATATCAAATTCACATAAATTTATAGTGAGTACTCCAGCTCTAAAGATGTGGAAAATATAATTGCTTAGCTAATTTTTGTTAAGCCTTTTAATCGATAATATTAAAACAAAAATAGTTATCGACTTTTTCAAACAAACTCGATATACCCATACCATACAGGCAGCTACAACTGAAATTTCAAGTCCCTAGCTCTTATAGATCCTGAGATCGACGCGTTTAGACATACGAAGGGACAAACAGGACAGACGATGAGACTGAGAAGGCTAAATTGACTCAAATATTGTTGTTACATGTATACTGTATTACTTGCAAATGGGTACACTACAGGGTACACTAAATGAAAAATGGGTTCGGGGTGACTAAATGCTCCTTCAGTATTTTTAAATACTGTATCCCAGACTCAAGTGAGCTATAGGAACTAATCGGACTCTCACGATCTTTAGGGTGACCAAGCAAAAGAAATAGCAATATTTGAATAGCTCTTAAATGTATCACTATATATTTCGATCACGAAACAAATATATAATATATTTGCCATTTTATAATGTCTGAAGGTTAAGATTAGGACACGAAAGATAGATCTTTGACTAAACAATTGAAAATATTCGAACAATGTTAACGAATCACTGAGTTGTTAAAACGCCCATATTGAACCCACGCAGAATCTAGTCAAAATTTAGACTTAAGCTTAAAGCATTAATTGAAATCATTTTTCTATTTATTATAAATGGACTTAAATGGCATTTGAATAGGTAATCAAAAACAAATGAAAAGCTTTTCTATTGAAAATACTTTTTCTTCAGTTCCCATCTGATCAGCAATTTTCCCAACTATAATTGGTTTTCTCTGTGCTGGGGCTGCATTCAAATGTTGATTGATTTATGAAGGATTCAATTCTAATGATGAATATATATATATATATATATATACATATATATAGAGTATATATAGTATTTATATACTGTGATTTTTTTATTAGCCTTTTGATTGCCCGCGGCGCCATTTCAACAGGTCAAATGGAAATTGTTAAACGCATTTTGCATTTTGCATTTCCCATTTGCATTTGCAGTAGAGACCCGCCCACGGCCTGTGGGGCTGCCAGTTGCAGGCGCTGCCCTGTGGCTGTTTGAGTAGCTAGGCAGGTGGTCCAAGGTGGTGCAGAGTGGTGCTGGCAGCAGCAGGAGGCGTTCGCATTGCCCGCCCAACCGCAACCACATGCGCATATCCCGACTGAAGTGGCATTTTAACGCTTCACATGCATAACGAGGGCGGCTCAAAGTGTGGGCCGCACACACACACACACATACGCACAACCACAAACAGAAACACACCACACCAACACCCCAGCACACACACACACACACACACTGCTAATAGCTGCTAGAACGAATTTTGATAAAATAAAAATACCAAAAAAAGACTAAATAAGAAGCAGAAGAAAATGTCTCTCGAGCGACTGCACATTAGCTAATTTCCCAAAAAGAAAAATAAAGTAAAATAAAATAAGTAAAGAAAAAAAAAA